GCCTCAGCCGGACGCATTTCAACGGCCCAGAACAAAAAGGCAATTTAAACTCCGCCAAGAGCCGGACCAGTGGGAGCTCGGGCCTTTTTTGTAAGAACTTTTTTACCCGTGCGTCCACCCTGATTGAACTGGCAGATTCCATCCGGAGTCCAGTGGAGCCAGGGGGGGTGAGGGGGGTTGTGGGGGGGAGTGTTTGGGCAACTTGTTCCACGCTCCCACCAACCTTTGCGTAAAGCAGCGCACCTCCTGTTCTGATCGGAGTATCTCACCCGGCTGTTTTTTCAGAAGAAGCTAGTGTGTCTTCCACAAGAGGCCTGGGCAGCTTGTTCCACACTCCCACCACCCTCTGTGTAAAGACGTACTCCTGTGCTGACTGGGGGGGGCTCATCCAGCTCTGTCTTGAGAGAAGTCAGGGTGTCGGCTTCAACAACAGGGCTGGGCAGCTTGTTCCACACCCCCACCACTCTCTGTGTAAAGACGTACTCCTGTCCTGACTGGGGGTCTCATCCAGCTGTGTGTCTTGAGAGAAGGCAGGGTATCGGCTTCAGCAGCCCGGCTGGGTTAGCTTGTTCCACACCCCTGCCACCCTCCGTGTAAAGAAGTGCTGTCTGTCCTCAATGGGAGAATTTTGTCCAGCTTTTGTTCCCCAAAAAAGCCAGAGTATCAAACCCCTGCTCCTCCCCATCACTCCACTGAGGCTCTTGCCCAGTCCCTCACTCAGTCCTTTCATTGTATTAACGGGACTCTCAGATTGGTTAACGAGATTCTCGGATTGCTTAACGAGACTCTCAGATTGCTTAACGAGACCCTCAAGTTTCCTGTTACCTTGGGACAACAGTGCCTTGGGGAAGGTGTCATGCACCTTTGGGAGTATCCTTGATCCCTGTGGCATTCACAGGATTTTATATTCTTAAAAGAACAAAGCAGCTGATGTCTCATTGATTTCGTTAACCAATGAGCCGTTCCAATTAGTACGACTGCTTGGGCTCTCGACTCGGTGAGCATTTAACCCTCCCTGTAAACCTCGGAGTGGAACCCGCCTACGGACAATAACCTTCACATTATCCGGGTCACCCTGGGAGCGATTCCTGGGGTGCTGTCTGTGTGGAGTTTGCATGTTCTCCCTTTGTTTCCTCCTCCTGTCCTAAGATACGTGGTCCGAGTGTGTGTGTGTGTGTGTGTG